GAGAGAGAGAGAGAGATGCTTAGGATTTGTCTTAAGAATGGAGGGGGTTCCCCTCGTTGTATAGGCCTCAACTCTCCCCAAAGTTATGCCTATCCAATTATGCCTATCCAATTATGACTTACCTAGACCAATAGGAATTTAGGAAACCTATGAGGTGTGAGTGAATTAAATGTGACATCCATCCTGTAAATCAACCATCATGATTTAAAGGATTATATTAAGAACTTTATCCCTTTAATATTTGACCCACTTACCGTTCTAGTCTAATTAGCGCTAGACGATTCTAAAAAACATTATAGAACTTCCTTATTTATCTCTTTAAAATTGTAGGAAGTCAAAATAATGAAATTTAGGTCAAAACTAACTCTCACGAAGTAAGCACACATAATCTTTTCTTTTAGAAAGATTATCTAACTGAACTTAAAACAGATTTTAACTAAAACAGAAATCTGAAACAAGAAAGGAGAGAGGCGTGCCACCCCTATGGGTGACATGTGGGCCCCATGCCTCACCCATGGGATGTGGCACACCCACATATGGGGCTGGATCCAAGGGCCCAACCTATGCCCCTACACGCTACAATATCTTCAGAAATATCCTTTTTAAGGAACTTACAATAGGAAATGATTAAAAAAAATTGAAAAATTTCTAAAATTCACAAAAATATTTCTAATATTAAAAATAAAATATTTAGAAGTAGACTAGTACCAATTGGTCAAAGTGAGTGATTGCAAGGGCACTCCACCGGACCTAGTGACAGTGATTCACGATTGTCTTTTAAAACCGCGGCAACGAGACCTATGATCCACAGACTTAAGGCGGCAATGGGTTGGGTTTGGGCTAGACTGGCCTTGGCCCTAGCTTAGGCCTGGTCCCTAAGGGGCTGGGCTAGGCAGGCTGGCCCTGCTCAGCCCTGACGGGGCCAAAGTGGCCTTGATCCAAGCCCGGCCTTACCCGAGCGGGTCTGAGTCGTGCTAGATAGATTGAAACATAAACCAAGTAAAGGAAAAAGAAGGTCGTGCTGGACTGACACGGGCCAGCCCTGTCATGAGCCGACCCTCAGGGCCTTGTGACTTGGTCTTAGGCCAGCCCTTGGCTACATTTTGTTTCCCAAGCCATGGTTGTTTAGGGCTGGGCCGGCTGGGCCTCCTCGGACTACCTAGCCCATTAACACCTTTACCCACAGTCTCATGCAGAGGCTCGTCAAAGCTGTCACGGAATGTGGATTCTTGCAGTGCCCCCTTAAAAGCAAGTCAAGCACCTATTATTATAGTGTTAGGACTCTCCATGCACATGTATACGTATTCCCTTCCAGTCTTGCTTTGTTGTAATGCAGTTGTTAATTTGTTATATGTATATGCGGTGCAAAAGTTTGTTGAGGAATTAGCCCTTTCTCTCATAGTCCTACATCCACACACAGGAGACTACAGAGCTATTCTGACCTATAATGCATCCTTGGGCGTCTCTTCGACCTCAACAAGGGATGACCATCCCTAAACCTTTTTTGGTAGTGCCATATTCCTAAAGATAAGGGTTTGGGGCATGACCAAGGCCATAGACTGCCTAACCCTTGTTCAGTCAACATATACTCTCAATGAAGTGCATAATTCATTATAAATCATATATGCATGCACTCATGGTCTTTAAAGGCTATAAACCCCAACATCTCCCACTTGGCCTTTGAAGGCCGTATAATCACTCCCTCTCAGTCTCTCTCAAGCCAATCCCATATACATGCTTGGTAAATATATTTGCCATCAATCCTTTTGTCAAAGGATTTGCTAACATAGCCTCTATTGGGTGATAAGAACTTTGATCTCTCCTGCTCGGATCTTGTTGTGAGTGTGGTAGTAGTCCGCCTTAATGTGCCTTGATTCTTGTGAAATGTGGCTGTTTAGGAACATAAATTGCCGCCTGGTTATTGCATAAATTTCTCACAGTCACTTCACTAGATCACAAGGTTTCAAAAAACGCTAGGCGGCTGACCTGGCGCCCAACGCCCATCGCCTAAGCGGGCGCCTAGAACCTTGGGCGCTCTGTAGTACAAGTTCTATATATATAAAAAATATATTCATATATTTGTGTCAATTTTGTAATTTATTGCATTTGAAAATGTTGTATTATTGTAATATATTTTTTTATTTACAAACATATGATACATCGCATGTTGAGAATAAACTTGTTCAAAATTTCAAATTCAAACCACACAAAATTTAAAAGTTTCATAGGATGATAATCTCCAACTCTCCATATTACTAAGTGAAAAAGTTTAGGAAGCTTCGTCAAACCATAAAAAATCCTTTTGATTCTCAGAAATAGGTATAGCTAAGACATTAAGGGTTTATGAAATTGTTCTTTTAACTTTAGGGGTTAAAAATAACTCCCATAACCTATTTAAACCTTTTTTGGGGGTCAAAGATACCCCCTTTTCCCTTTTGGCGAAAAAGAAAAAAAGGAAAAAAAAAGAGCCCACGTCCCTGGGCTCACGCCTAGGCACCTGGCTAGCCCTTCTGGTCGTCCTCCTGGGCGCCTGCCTAGGTGCCCGCCCAGGTACATCTACTCGTGTTGGGCTGCCTGGGTCTGGGCGTGCGGTGTTTTGGTTCAGGGCGTTTAGGCGCTGGGTGGACCATTTTTTGAACCATTGCTAGATCAAATCTGAGTTACTAGACTACTTGACAAGCCACATACTCTAGCTCCATAGTTGAGAGTGCAACAATGTCCTATTGCCTTGAGCACCAGCAAACGACTCCACTGACAAGTGTGAAGATACCCTGGATGTGAACTTCATCTCATTTGGATCGCCCTAATAGTACACATATGAATATCCCTATATCTGTATGTCCGTGCCGCTCCATAAGTGAGTGCAAGATCAACATTTCCCTTCAAATGTCGCATAACTCCTTTAATTGCTTTCTAGTGCTCCATGTCTGAATTACTTTGGAACCTACTAATCATACTCATAACAAATGAGTCTGGTCTCGTTTCTAACATGGCATTCATCTGTGACCCGACTGCACTTCTTTATGGGATTCTTTGCATTGTCTCTTCTTTTTCTTCTTCTCCTAGATTACGGGACACATGGCTGGACTTTAACTTGGTCTTCTTATCAATAGCGTTAATATAGGGCTAACAATTTTCCTTTTCAAATCTTTCCAGTATTTTCTTGCGGTATGTCTTTTGGGATAATTGAATCGTTCTTTCTCTTCTGTTCCATGTGATCTCAATTCCCAAAGCATATGGTGCCATTCCATGATCTTTCGTATCAAAATGCTGGGACAAGAAAGCTTTTGTTTCCAATCCAAGGGTCATTGAACTACTGGCGATTAACTTATCATTCGCATATAGAGAGATGAATACAACATCACTTCCATATATAT